GATCTCACGGATTACCATACCTACGTATCCCTTCGTCGAAAATTCCTACACAGTTCGCGAGGTCGTGCAGCCCTGCTGTGTGGTGGCATTATTGGCCGCCTGGCGAGATCTGATGTTTCTTTCGAAGACGTCTTTCGCGGACCAAGTGACGACGCATTTATCAATGGAACCTGTCTGTGGGATGGCCATTCCACGTATGCCTATTGGGATGATTGTCTCACAGAGCAAGAAATTGATTTGATTTGTGGTATCTACCATGTATCAACCGGTTAGTCGACTTTTTTTCTTTCCTTCCTAACCACCCAAAAGTTAACTTCCTACTTAGGTCAAGGTGGCGACAGTACTCAAGTAGCAAAAGTGTCCTGGTGGCCCAAGCCTCTGGCTTTCGACGCGTCAGGAATTAATGTGGGCTGGTGGACACCGCAGTGGGAGAAGTGGTACCAAACGCGTCTCCAGCAATTGGAGAGCGGACGCGGCACTCTGGCAAACCATGAGAAGTGGAAACACAATATCAAGTTCGAACGCCTGGGTCCCCCATATACTAAAGGGATCGAGAAATCTGCTGCCCGGATCCTTGAAACTTTGCGACCGTAGACGACGATGAACAAATTGTATGTATATCGACCTTTCCAAACAGTTTTATCCTCCTTGCGTGTTCTGAGGACAATGAGTACAAGTACAGACAAAGGTATGTTCCCATTTTCATCTGCTGCGTCAGCCCTACTCCCCGCGCTCGACCATCTGTTTCAACAATGCAAGAACTTCTCTCTTCGCCACTTCCATACCGCCGATTCTATCCAAATCAAATTTTTCAAGGTGGCGGACCGCAAGAATCGCAGAGGGTTGGTCCAATCCAGGCGTTCATCACTTTGAATCGGCGATGCACCAATCGTTCTGAACCTCGATATAAGTATGCCTTCAAGCCAAAACAAGCTGCTCACCAAGTTTCGTAGCATGTTCGGTGTTCACAGCCCACACGAGCTCGATCTCGTCCAAATGGCATTGTCTTTGCCATTCCCTTTCGCGGCGAGGAGGCTCATCGCTTCGCCCAATCTTCACCACGATTGATCCGTCCGTGTGTTTGACGACCAAAAAATACACGCCCCCCGGACGATCATGCAGCGAGCACGGCGCGGATAGAGCATCATCGACATATCCCTTGGGGTAATTGCTCATGGCTAGTTCAACGCGCGTCCAGGAAATCCGTTGGGAGTCGTGCGGGGTGGGATTGTGTGTAGAGGTTCGATGTAGCTGAGGTATGTGAATCACAAAAGTGGAAACCAAGTCTAACTCGATCGCAGCGTCAGGCTACCAAGGACGCCGGTACCACCTCGGGCATGAATGTCCTGGATCATCAACGAGCCCACTTATTTCGCGCGCGTCCCAAACATGTAGCTAACTTTTTTCTTTTCCAGTTGAGGGACGGCCCGCGGTCGCCCGCATAACGTCCAAGAACACTCTCGAGGCGTACACATACAACCTGCGGAACGTCATCAGCGAAGCTCGCGGACAAGTTCGAGGCCGCCGACAAGACAAAGCTCGAGAGCGCCGTCAACGACACCATCAAATGGCTCGACGAGTCCTATAGGGCAGAAGTAGGAACGCTCTGGTAGCTCAGTTGGAAGAGCGGTGCCATCCGATGATGAATTGGACAATTTCGTTTAATGCACCGGCGCATGTTCGAACCATGCCCAGAGCCTAAAGTTCGTCCTCGCTTTTTATTTTTTTTTTATTATATTTATTCCATTGAGCAGGAGTTCGAAGGAGGAGTACGAGAAGCAGAAGGGGCTGGAAGCCATCGCCAACCCCATCATGCAAAACTGTACGGTGGGGCGGGTGTACCCGGCGCGGGATTTCCCGGAGGCGAAGGGTTCCTGGGCGGGGCTGGCGGTACTCCTGGGGGCGCGTCAGAGGACGGTCCCAGGTCAACTAATCTCTTTGCCCTCATTTCCCGTAGTCCTTTCGCCGGTGGACATATTTACAACTCACGACCCTACATTGTATAACTTCTCGCCTTACCATTTATTTGTACACTAGTCCCACATTATCATCAAAAATTTCTGACAACTTGAGTTTCTCAACTTGAATCACCATGACGTCGCCCCAAGCTTTACTATATCTTTCTTATGAAGTCCTTGCCTGAGCGGATATGCAATTGATCATACAAAAAAGTACCGCAGAGATCCCATTAAGGAATAACACGGGCAATACAAACAGGATGGCACGTAGAGATATAAGTGGTCTTCTAGTCCAATGTGAGGAGAAGTCGACCCTGTCAGAGTCTGTGATTTCCTCTGCGTCGGAGGATAGGTCAGCGTTAACATGCAGAAAGGCTCGAGCCATACCTTTGATACGGTGAACCCGGTTGTGTTCCTCTGGACCACCCAACTCTCGGTGCTCAATCCGTAGGCTTCCAACCTGCATTTCCGCATCGGTTAGGTTCTTCGACGCTATTTCGTTCATTCGAGAATAGTATTGGAGGCGGCGTTTAGCTTCGATTTCTAGGAGTGTGGCAAGCTTGATTTCCGTCCGGCGACGATCAACGGCAGCATGGGCCTCGACCAAAAGGGATTGCACGACATTGGCCTCAGCTTCGCGTGAATTGAGGATGTCGTGGGCGATATCGAGTTTGTACCGAAGCTCTTCGGCAGAAGTGAGAAGCGACAGGGTGGCCTTCGGCATACTTGAGCGGCGGGCAGCAGTGGCAGGAAAAGAACAACAAACCAATCCTAGCGTAGAACAGGATAGGTTTCGCGTCATTGGGGTGGCCGTCGCCGGACGGATTCGCGTGGCGTCATCGTCGATGAGATTCTGAGTGTCGCCACCGTGAAAAGCCATGGAGGAAGTACGGTTACAATATTAACTTGAATGCAGACGGATAGATGGTGGCGGGAGGGAACCTGGGAAAGAATATGAATCGCGCGCTCACGTGCTGTTGGTCTTCCACATCTGTCTCCCATCTCCCACTCCGCTTACCCGGTGCTCAGTCGCCCAGAAAGCTGCTTGTATCGCTTGCACCTCTTCCTTGTAGCCGAAAATCCTCCCATTCCGCTTACCGGTGCCCAGTTGCCCAGAAAGCTGCTCAGTGTGCTCCGTCGTCCAGAAAGCTGCTTGTATCGCTTGACTCGGAACCTCTTCCTTGTAGCCGAACATCCTCCCATTCCGCTTACCGGGTGCTCAGTCGCCCAGAAAGCTGCTTGATTGCTTAGTGCCCAGCTGCTTAGCAATCGAATCCATCTCTTACGCAGGCGGCCTTGCCTCGTACCCATGCCTCGACGCAGCTCTGAACATTACTGTCCGATATGCAACACCGGGTTCATCAACCGGACCAGGTGCTTGCAGCACACCTGATAATCCCAGATAACAGTACTAATTAGAATGGCTGAGACCCATGGTGTGCCCATTCCAATTAGAAGTGTTAGAGGCAATCCGCCTATGCTGCAAAATATGCTGCATATTTGCCTCAATATGCTGCAACTATCTAGCAGCATATGGCCCTCCGAGGGACTTGAGAGTCATTTCTCAGTGTATTATATAAGCCCGGCGGGCGCTCCCGACACCCGCCGTCCCAAAAAGGAAATCGACCAGGAAAAATTACTATACACAAAATAAAATACAAGTAAAATACTAATAAAATAACAACACCTACTGCGCCTCACCCACCCTGCCATCAACGGCAAGCATTGAGATCTGGTAAACCATATCTGCTACTGCCACGTCCTTGGCCTCATCTCCCTTGCCCTCCGCGTCGCTCCCCTCGTCTTCGTCAACAGCCATCTGCACGGGGATTCCCTCGCCGTCATCCACCCACTCGCCCTCGTCGTTGCCCGTCTCCGGCCCCCCTTCATCCACCTCCATCTCCCCCGCTTCTCGTGCCACCTGCGCCCGCAATTCCCGCAGGCGCTCCCGAATCTCCCGCCGCTCAACTGCTACTCCGCACTTCAGGGAGCCCGTGAACCCGGGCTCAGCGGCCAGCTTGTAAAACCGTCACATGTGTCCGGAGTCGAAACGCCCGCGACGCTGGCGGTACAGACGCACTTGGACGGCCATCTGCACGTCCTCCACAACTTGCTCCTCCGACTTCCCCCCTTCCTCCCACAGGTTTGCCTCCATCTTACGCAGGAAGGTGTTCTCGTCCCGGATCCAGGTCACGACACGCGGGATCTCCACATTGAGGCGCTTGATCTCTTCGCGCGCGCGCAGAATCCGGAAGTACCGGTCCATTGCGAGCCGGTACGCAGGGCGCGTCCAGGGACGTGCCTGGATCTCTGCGCGCGTGTCCCGCAGGATGTCGAAGTCCGCAAGGAATGCGTACTCGACCACCTGCTCCCAGGAGAGCTGCCGCATTGGGGGGGAGAGGGCGCAGGCGGCGCTGTTGTAATGCTCAATGGCGGTGCGCACGGCCTTCGACCGTGCCTGCAACGCCTTCGCAATATGCTTGCGCATTTTATACCCTGGAAATGTTAGCCACAGAACACAAATTAAATATAATACTGCACTTACCGGTTTGCGACCGGTTTATCTTTGTTAGCTCAAAGATGCGCTCCACGATGAGGAGCTCCAGCGCGTCCAGCGCCAGCTGATACTTGCGTTGCTTCACCGCGGCTACCGTCGCCACCCACTTGGGTGAGGCAGTGGTCCAGCGGTCGACGATATCGAGGGACACCTCGAGCTCCCGCACGGCCTCGAGATCCTTCTCCATCTTCTCCCGCGCATGGCGCCTGGCCACCTCCGCTTTGGCAACGCCGGGCTCGTACGGCGCATCATCTCCATTCGCGCGTCTTGCTTCTGCGGCCAAGACAAGATGTTTCGCCCTGGAAAACCCGCTGTTAGATATAGGCAAGATCACGGAGTGGAGGACGTACTGGCTGGCGCTCAGGTTCACCAACTTCTGGACGTACTCCATCTCCAATGTCTCCTTGTTCTCCTTCGGCGTGTTCTTCAGACTCAGGAGGTATGTCTTCTCCTCCTCGAGCCACTCATGGAACTCCTCGTAGTCCTCAACGCCTTCCGCCTCCATCCAGCTCTTCAGTGTCGCCTCGGTCTTGAGGATCGACAAGGCCTGCCGGTAATTCGAGGTGAGGAATTTACCTGGCGTCCAATGTCAGCTCGAACGGTAAAGGATCGTGGAGAGGTCGACGTACCAAGATTCGCGTACGTCTCGAACGAGTCGAAATGCTTCACGTACGTCGTAATTTCCTGTTGCCGATGGAACCTGCTTGCGTACCGGCAGGATTTGGCGAGGCCATTTGACCGCGAGAAGAATCGCTCGCAGCCTTCGAGGTCTTCGAGGCCCATGCCCTCGACGTACGTGGCGAGGAACCGCAACTGGCAGAGGCGGTTGTGGGCGTGGCCGTGGAAGGAGCCGACAAGGCATCTCAGCCCCTTCTCTCTCGCCTCCTCCCCGAGCTCGCTGTTGTCCACCGTGACCCCGAAGTGGCACCCGACGTCGTAGCCAGCCCCAACCTTCATGCCGAACGCGCCGAGGAGCTCCTTCACGACCGCGAGCGGGTACTTGGCCCTGTAAACCACTGTTAGTCAAAACATCTACCTTCGCAGGACAGGGAGACTCACAATTCGCCGCTCTTGATCATATCCGCCAATAGGATGACAAACCCGTGCCGACAGAGCGCCAGGAAGACCCCCGTTTCATCGAATATTCCCCACATCTTCGACGTAACGTCGTTGATCATATTCTTCCATCGGTCGGCGCAGGGATTGTCCTCATCCTGGAGGGCTAATCAGCTACATCCGTTCGGCATTCACAGAAAGAATAGGACGTACCGCATTCCCCGATTGCATTGGAAGCTGCTCGCCCAGGCGGCTCTTCGCCCATCTATCCACCTTCTCGCGCGAGATGTAGTACCCATCCCCCGCGTCCCTGTTGTCCACATGCTCCCTCGATTTCGCCAACGTCGGGTCATCCGCCTCGTGGTCCGCCATGGTTGTCCTCTCGCGCCGCAGGACTCGCTTCAACAAATCGTTGCCGTCCATGGTGGTGAGGATGCTGAAGATCAGCGCGTCTTCGCCCTCGAGCTTGTACATGCAGGCGGGGCATGCGTGCTTGAGGCGCCAGGAGGAGTCGCGGCCGAGAGCATGCATAACACGCTCGTCGGTGCGTCGGCGAAGCTCGAGGTACAGGTCATACGCAATCGAGAACTGCTGGCACAAGTAGGGACGATACGCCACCTGATTTGAAGCTTTAGAAGTCGATTACAATGAGCATAAAGACAACGTACCCCGTGTATATCACAGAGAGCTTTCACGTAGGGCTGAATGGCGAGCTGGGGGCAGCGCACATGGGTGACGCGGTACGCCTCAAGTACGCGAATCTTGATGGCAACCGTTGGCTCCCAAGGCGCGCAAGGCATCATGCCCTGCAGGATGAGCGCCGGTGCAATTCCATTCGCGCGCTGATCAAGCTTGACATCAACGCTGCTCGTGTCTGTAAAAATAATGAGCGGACGTCCGTGAAAAATGAAATGCAGGCTCACCGAACATATCCACCACGGTGAGCTCATATATCTCCTCCACCGCGGGGTGCTCCTCCTCCTCGGCGGCTGGCCTAATTGGAAGCTTCGCCTCCGCACACCAGCGGAAATACGCCGCAAGCATTTGCGGCATCTGGCCTTGAAATGCCAGGTTTTGTCGCTCCGTCCGGTCGCGCCGTGTGCGCCAGTCTGTGTGAGTGCTGTTTTT